CCCACCCACCCACAACTTGGTTCGCAAAATTTCTTAAGACCGTGACGGTGGGTACCACATGGCACTTGGCAAAAAGAGCGACGCCGACGACGACAGCGACAACGACGATGACGACGCCGCCGACAACGACTACGACGACACCGACGACGTCTCCAACGACTTCGACGACGCCGACAACGACGACGACGACGACACCGACAACGACACCGACGACGACGACGACGCCGACGCCGACGACGACGACGATGACAACGACGACGCCGATGACGACGCCGACGACGACGATAACAACGACGCCGACGACGACGACGTCAACGACGCCGGCGACGACGACGACGACGACGACGGCGGCGACGACGACGACGCCGACGTCGACGACGACGACGACGACAACGACGCCGACGCCGACGACGACGACGAAGACGACGACGACGTCGCCAACGAAGACAACGAGGAAGGAGGGAGGACGACGACGGCGACAACGACGACAACGACGAGGGAGGAGGGAGGACGGCGACGACGCGAACGACAAAGAAAGCAGGAAGGACGGCGACGCCGACGACGGCAACGACGAGGGAGGAGGGAAACGACGACGACGACGACGACGACGACGGCGACGAAATAGGAGGGACGACGACGAGACGCCGACGACGGACGACGACGACGACGAGGGAGGAGGAGGAAGGATGACCACGGCGACAACGACGACGGAAACGACCACGACGCCAAAGAGGAGGACGACGACGAACACGAGGAAAGACAGAGGACGACGTAGGCGACGACGACGACGACAACGACGCGGGAGGAGGGAGGACGGCGACGACGACGACGACGCAAGAGCGTGCGCGCACGCTTTTGTTGAAAATCCGTGTTGCGAAACCTTTTGTTTTTGTAGGTTTTTTGTACACACGATTCTGAAATCCTTTCGAAACCGATGGGTTTTGAAGGTTTTCGGCATACGCGCGCGACGACGCGCGCGTCTGCACTTCGTCTTTTTTTTTGCAGGGGGTTGTCGCGACGGCACACGCGCAAGGGCGTTCGACAGGTTTCGACATGAGCGCGCACGAAACCCGTTTGGTAGCATTTTGTGAACATCTTGAAAAACCCATGGCCTTCTTAAGATTATGCAAGATCTTTCGCGGAATCTTTTTTAGCAACTCGTTCTTGCGAAACCCTGTGTTTTTGTAGGTTTTTTTTTGTTGTTGTTTGAAATCTCGATTGCGAAATCCTTCTGGCACCGAAGATTTTTGAAGGATTATGGCATGCGCGCCCGACGACGCGCGCGTGTGCATTTTTTTTTGTTGTTTCATTTTTTCGTTTGTAAGGGATTCGTGAGCAAGTGATTTGTTAGAACCAAAAATGTCACTGCATCGTGTTTTTTACAAGGGAATCTCAGGGGGGGAGGGAGCCCAGGTTGGCTGGGACGGTACGATTTCATATTTCGGATGGACGAGTATGCATGCATGCATTTTTATATATATATATATATATATATATATAAAATATATATATATATATATAATATATATGAAATCATATTATCCCAGGGGGAGCCGATAAATCCGGGGGGGGGGAGGGTAGAATCTATTTATTCTCTTTTTAGAAAATCTATGTGGTGTATTTTCGCTTTGACAGTCTTGAAGCTGTCCTCTCGACTGCTCGTGCAAACATCCCACCCTCCCACCCGCAACTTGGTCGCACAACTTCGTAAGACAAGACCGTGACGGTAGGTACCACATGGCACTTGGCCACGACACCAACGCCGACGACGACAGCGACAACGACGACGACGGCGCCGCCGACACGGTTTACGACGACGACGACGAAGACGACGTCGACGAAGACGACGACGACGCCGACGCCGACGCCGACGACGACGAAGACGACGACGACGTCGCCAACGAATACGACGACGAGGGAGGAGGGAGGACGACGACGGCGACGACGACGACAACGACGACAACGACGATGGAGGATGGAAGACGGCGACGACGCGAACGACGAGGAAGGAGGAAGGACGGCGACGCCGACGACGATAACGACGAGGGAAGAGGGAAGACGACGACGACGACGACAACGACGACGAAGACGACGACGACGACGGCGACGAAATAGGAGGGACGACGACGAGACGCCGACGACGGACGACGACGACGAGGGAGGAGGACAACGACGAGGGAGGAGTGAAGACGACGACGACGACGACGACGACGACCGCGACGAAATAGGAGGGACAGCGACGAAACGCCGACGAGGACGACGAGGGAGGAAGGACGGCCACGGCGACAACGACGACGGAAGCGACGACGACGCCAAGACGACGACGACGAGGAAAGACAGAAGACGACGACGGCGACGACGACGACGTCGACGAGGGAGGAGGGAGGAGGACGACGACGACGACGCAAGAGCGCGCGCGCACGCTTTTGTTGAAAATCCGTGTTGCGAAACCTTATGTTTTTTTGTAGGTTTCTTGGACACGCGTTTTGAAATCTTTCTGAAACCGAAGATTTTCGAAGGATTTCGGCATGCGCGCGCGACGACGCGCGCGTCTGTATTTCGTCTCATTTTTTGCAAAAGGATTCTCGCGACGGCACACGCGCAAGGGCGTTCGACAGATTTCGACATGCGCGCGCGAAGCCAGCTTGGTAGCTTTTTGTGAAACTCTTGGAACACCTATGGTTTTCTTGAGATTTCGCAAGAGCTCGCGCGTGAGCTTTTTTAGCAAATCAGTGTTGCGAAACCATTTATTCATATATATTTATATACATGTATATCATGTTTTTGGAAAGTCAATTGTGAAATCTCTCTGGAACCGAAGGTTTTTAAAAGGATTTTGGCATGCGCGCGCGACTGCGCGCGCGTGTGCACTCCGTCCCGTTGTTTTGCAAGGGATTCGTGAACAAGTGTTATGTTAGGACCAACAATGTCACCGCATAGTGTTTTTAACAAGGGGACCTCAGGGGGCGGGAACCCGGTTTGGCTGGGATGGTGTGATTTCATATTTAGGATGGACATGTGGTCATAATCGTATGCGATTTACGTAGGACGCGGGGGTAGTGATAACGCCGGGGGGGGGGGGGTAGAGTTTGTATGTGTTGTAGAAGGGAGAATCGATGGCCGAAGTTGAAGTCGTCAGCTCCACTGCTCGCGCAATCACCCCACCCGCCCACCCGCAACTTGGTTTGCAGAACCCCGCGCGGCGGCGATTGCGATGAGTGCTGGGGGTTGGCTGGTGCATCTCTGCGGCCGCGCTTGCCCGCGCGTGCTCGCGCGCGCAGCGGCCGGCAAGTTTGGCGCGACCGACGCGGCCGCGGTGGCGCTGACCTCTCGGCGCACCCCGACGGGCACTTCAGTGTGAGTCGGCGACTTCGGCGGGCGCTGTATCATGGCGCCGTCGACAACAGTAGATGCGATGATGATGGTGGCGACTCGGGTGGCGATGCTGACAGCGACGACGGGGCAGCCAGTGACGGCGCCGATGCTGATCACGCCGACGACGATGACGGCGCTCTCGCGTCGGCGATGATGGTTTTGGAAGGACTTCGAAATGTGCGCGCGGCAGACGCGCGAGAGTGGCTCGCGTGGTTCTTATTTGACGCGGACTGCCACCCCAGCGCGCGCGCAAGGGCGTTCGAACGATTACGACATGCGCGCGCTCGAAGCCCGTTTGGCAGCCCTATCCGAGAATTATGAAAACCGCATGGTTTTCTTGAGGTCGCAAGAGCGCTCGCGCACGCTCTTGTTGAACATCCTTGTTGCGTTTTTTTTTGGACCGACGGTTTTCCCAGGATTTCGGCATGCGCGCGCGACGACGCGCGCGCGTGCACTTCGTCCCGTTTTCGGCAACGGATTCTTGAACACTTATGGTTTTGATAAGCGAGTGCGCGCGCATAGTATATTTTGAAAGGGAACCGAAGGGGGGGGATGCCGCCCTGGCTGGGAGAATATGAAATCACATTTAGGATGGGCAATGGGTCACAATCATATGTATTTTGCATAGGTTCCTATGGGATCGATCAGTCCGGGGTGGTGGTGGTGGTGGAACCTTTTTACATGTATAGACAGGAGAACTGCTGTGGTGCAATCTACGCGGCGCAACCTATGCAATGCATGCAGTCTAGGCGGTGCAATTCACCAACGCTGAATTTGAAGTTGCCCACTCCACTGCTCGCGCAAACATGCCGCCCACCCACCCGCAACTTGGTTTGCAAACCCCACGCGGCGGCGATTGCGATGAGTGCTGGGGGTTGGCTGGTGCATCTCCGCGAGTTTTGAGACGCCAGTGTGCGCACACAATTTGTTTCGCAGAGGATGGCGGGGTGGGGTCGATGCCGGCTCGGCTGGGATCGTACGGGTTCATTTTTAAGATGGACGATGTGGCATAATCATACGTAAAGTACAGCACGAAAAAATTGCACCGTTAACCCCGGCGTCGGGAGGCTGGTGGATATTATTCTCTTTCTAGAAAAGAGAGTCTATGCGACGGCGACGGCGGCGACGGGCGGCACCGCCCGCAAAAGCCGCGACTCGCCCCGAGCGGCGGCGACGGCGACGACGGCGACGGGCGGCACCGCCCGGCACCGCCCGCAAAAGCCGCCACTCACCCCGAGAGGGTTCAGCGAAGTAAAAACCCTCATTGCAAACACTGTTCGGGGAATTTTGAATCCAACTGTCCTTCCATGTTTGAGAGAATCGCACAATTTTATGACAAATCTGTGCGGTGCTAGGGCGAGATACGCGTTTGAAAACCACCCGCTTTCCATTTTCGAAGCTGTTGTAGATTTGAAGCTTCAGAACCATAGCAGGTGAGGAGGTCTCAGGCGAATCGCACAGCCCGCCCTACTGACACGTCGGGGGGTGCGACAGGGAGGAGGCATTCACACGGGAAAGGGGTGGATTAGGAAGACAGGGAGAAAGAGGAACATGAGGAGGATGACTCGGAGAGGCAGCAGGTGGACGATGTCAGGCGGGGCAGGACCCCCCCAATTGCGCGAAAGGAGATCCGCCAGACGCCCGCGCGCGCCCTCCTCTTCTGCGGCCCCGACTCGGCGCCGCTGCTCGCCATGGCAGCCTGGAGCGGCGGCAAGGCCCGCGTGGGACTTGGGCAGCTCAGAGACGGACCGCCCGCAAGCGGTTGGCTTCAGTCAGCCCTGGCCCCCCCCTTCGACTGGGTGAGGCGGGAGGAAATGAGAGGAGGCGGAACAGGAGGAGGAAGAGGAGGAGGAGGAGGAGGAGGAGGAGGAGGAGGAGGAGGAGGAGGAGGAGGAGGAGGAGGAGGGGGAGGAGGATGAAGAGGACGAGGAGGAGGACTACCCGACATAAGCAAAACGTACTTCAACTTACTACACGGGCGACTCACATCAGCACTCACTGGTTGGAAGTACCTCTGCTCACACCATCAAATCGAGCCACACTGGTCACAACGGCCGAAGGAAATTCCATTCCACAGGAAAGCCGACAACAGCCCCATCCGCCAGCCATTCATCGACGGCGGGAAACCCCCAAGATCCTTACGCAATTCACCACTCATACACAGCACATGGGAGCAGCACAGCAAGAACCCGTTCGGAAGAAACCCGGCGATCACGCGCGTGATCGGCCCGCCTCCCCCCGTGCAGTCACGTCGCGGCGGTCGTCTGGTGGCGACCGCGGACGTCCCGTGGCGCTCGCAGGCTACTGTGGTGTTCACAGGCATGTCGTTGTGCTCACAGGGACGTTGTGGCACTCGCGAGGGAAAGTTGCGCTTGCGTGCGTGCCGCGTGGTGCTCTCAGGGACGCAGTGTTGGCTCTGTTGACGAGAGGCATTGGCGCGGCGGTCGGAGCGCGGCGCTCGCAGTTGCAGGCGCTGAGTGTTGTATACGGGCACTGAATGCGCACACGGGCGTTGTGTGGTATATGAACGTTGCGGTGGTCATAGTTTCTTGTGGCGCGCGCAGGCACTGCGGGCTCAAATGCAGGGGGCCGTGTCCAGGGCCAGAAAAAAGGAGGACGAGGAGGGGGAGGAGGAGGAGGAGGAGGAGGAGGAGGAGCAGGAGGAAGGAGGCGGAGGAGGAGGAGGACAACGATGACGAAAACGAGGACGAGGAGGAGGATGAAGACCCCCTCCCGTTCTCAATCGCCCAATCATCACCAGGACAACGTGAGGTTGCAACGTCAAACTGAGAGCAAAGTTCCGCTGGCTTCTGGGGTTTCTCGCCGGCTCCTGCAGGGTTCTGTCGCTTCGGGATGCTTCCCAGCAGCTGCGCCTCGCCGAGAGGCGTGCGGGGCTGCCCGGATCGTCCCGAACGGCCGCTACCACTATCAGTACTATTACTACCACTACTACGACTACTACTACTACTACTACTACTACTACTACTACTACTACTACTTCTACTACTACTACTACTACTACTACTGCTGCTACTACTACTACTATTACTACTACTACTACTACTACTACTACTACTAGTACTGCTAGTACTACTAGTACTACTAGTACTACTACTACTACTACTGCTGCTGCTACTACTACTGCTACTATTAATAATACGACGACTAGTACTACTACTACGGCTACTGCTACTACTACTACTACTACAACTATGACGACCTAGTAGTACTACTGTACTACTACTAGTACTACTACTACATATGTTACTACTACTACTACTACTACTACTAGTTCCACTACTACTACTACTACTACCACTAGTAGTAGTACTACTACTACTACTACTATTACTATTATATCACTACTACTACTACTGCTAGTACTACTAGTGTTAATACTAATTTAATTAACACTATTACTACCACGATTACGACGACTACTACTATTACTATTACTACTATCGCTACTACTACTACTAGTACTACGACTACTACTACTACTACTACTACGACGTTACTATTAGTATTCTTGCGACTACTACTAATACTACTACTGTTGCTATTTCTACTAGTACTACTGGTACCACGACTACGACGACGACTATTCATACTACTATTATCCCGGCTCCTTTTATTAGTCTTCTCACCGCTACTATCATTGCCATTGTTGCTACCGCTACTACTACTACTACTACTACTTTCGCTGCTTCTACGACTGCTACCACTACTACTACTAGTACTACTACTACTACTACTACTACTACTACTACTACTACTACTACTATTACTACTACTACTATTATTTCTACTACTACTACTGCTACAACTACTACTACTACTACTACTACTATTTCTACTACTACTACTACTACTACTATTACTGCTACTGCTACCACAACTACTGGTATTACCACTGATACCATTACTAGTACTGCTACGACTACTAGTACTACTGCTTCGACTACTACTACTACTACTACTACTACATCTACTGCTGCAACTATTCGGATTTGTTTCTTTATTGATACCAGTCCTACTTCTACTACTACTACTACCACTACTACTACTACTACTACTACTACTAGTACTGTTACTACTACAACTATTCCCAATACCATTGCTAGTAGTAGTAGTAGTAGTAGTAGTACTACTACTACTACTAGTACTACTACTACTACTACTACTACAGCTACCACCTGTACTACTAGTAGTACTACTGCCATTACTATTACGACTACTGCTACTACTACTACTACTAATGTTAGTGTTACAATTACTATTGTTCTTATTACTGCTACTACTATCCTTAGCCCTGCTACTACCAGTAATTCTACTACTACTACTACTATTACTACTACTACTACTACTACTACTACTACTACTACTACTACGACTACTACTACTACTACTACTACTACTTCTACTACAACTACTACTGCCACTGCTGATGCTGCTACTACTACTACTAGTAGTAGTATAGTAGTAGTAGTAGTAGTAGTACTCGTACTACTACTACTACTACTACTACTACTACTACTACTACTACTACTACTACTACTACTACTACTACTACTACTACTACTACTACTACTACTACTACTACTACTACTACTACTACTACTACTATTGTTACGACTACTATCTACGAGTGCTGCTGCTGCTTTTGCTATCACTACTACTACTACTACTACTACTACTACTACTACTACTACTACTACTACTACTACTACTGCTGAGACTCATACGGCTGCTGCTACTACTACGACTAGTGTTATTGCTGCTGCTACTGCTAGTGCTTGCGCACCGCCGCTGGACACCAGGCTCCGCGGTGCTCGCGCGCGCGCGCTGCGTCAACAGGCGTTATGGTGTTCGCACGCGCTGTGGCGTTTCCTGGCTGTGTAGCGTGCGCAAGCGATGTGTATTCGCAGGTGCTGTGGTGTTCGCAGGTGCTGTGTTCACAGGCGCTTTGATGTTCACAGGTGTTCTGGTGCTCACGGACGTTGTGCTCTTCAAAAACGTTGTGGTTTTCACAGGCACGTCGCGTTGATCGGCTCGCAAGATTTTGTTGCGCTGGTCACAGGCGCGTCGTGATTGTCGGGTCGCAGGCGTTTGTTTTTGGCAGGCGCATTGCGGTTCTTACGGGCATGTTGCAACACCGCAAGCGCACCCCCGCCGTGGCGTGATCGGTGCGACGGACCCCCCCCCGATCACGCGCGTGAGCGGCCCTAAACGAACGGGCTCCAACGACATCGACCAGAACAATGTACGATGAAACGAGTCCAGCGTCAATGAGGACGGCGCCGAAAAGAGCCCCACACATACACTGTACAACATATATTTTGCCAGCGGAGTATTCAGAGGTGCGAGTTCCAGGTGGGCGAGGGCCGCGCCATCCACGCGAAGTTCAAGTGCGACGTAAAGAATTTCGAAACACTTGCCCTCGTATGCCCACTGACAAACTCACGCCGCTTCTTCGCCTCAGGGTCTGAACTTTTTTCGCTCACCAATTACTTAGCATGCGCGCTACGCGCATCGGGCGCATCGACCGTCCACCCGCCATGGGCAACATGAGTGCTAGAAAAGGGCCGACGCCGCGCGCCTCCTCCAGTCGCACGCGGGCAGCCCACACACTTTGAACCAGAAGACGCCGCCAACCTTGAACGCGAGCTTCTCAACCAATGGGGGGACATTGCGCGCTTCCAACCCAGTTGCCACGCAGGCCCAACACCTCCAACGCGCTACGAGCTCAAATCGCCAACCAGACACAACCCCAAGTGGCCGCAAATGATTGAAGCCTCCGACCTACGCCCATTGCAGAGCTCACCTACGACGTCATCTACGACGACTGCAACTCGAACTACATTCAGGCCCGGCCATCTGACATTCCACCGTGCCCTTATGGACCGCAATTCACATGCGACCCGCCGAAGTTCATGCAGGCAAAAGACGGTTTCTGATTGAGTACCGACCTACCACCAGACGATGAACATTAGTGATTTGTACAACATCTTGCAGAACATTACGACGTCGAGAAGAACCTCTACGACCGCCTGGAACAGCTGCGATGCATGTGCATCGGTCAGAGGAACATGCTACCACCAGAGCGAACTATATCCAACCTCACCTTCCCCCCCAAACAGAAAAACGAAACTCGACGACGCAGACGCGGCAACAGCCGCGAATGCATCCCGCTCGAACCGCCGCGGATGTCGATGCCACCGACGCAGAACAACGACGGCGCTCCAACGGCCCAGTGGCAAGACGACCAATACGAAGGTTACGGCATTCCAACATCACAACAGGGACAGGGGCGACCCATGGGCCAAGATGAGCCCAGCGTCTGACTTCCGCGAAGCTTGCCCATCACCGCTCGAACCAAACAGATACCGCGACATGCGCCTGCCCAGTGGCTGGGCCGCCTACTGTCACTGCGCCGGCGACGCAGGCGTGGACATCCAAGGGGGAGATTCTTGGGCTTGCGCCGCGCCGTCGACCCCTCGGGGGGCTCCTGGTGGGTCTCTCGGGGGTCTCCTGGCAGCATTTTTGAATATTTGGGTGCTGTTTTTGGGGCATTTTTTTTTTTTTGTTTTTTTTTTTTTTTGTTGTTGTTGTTGTTGTTGTTGTTGTTGTTTGTTTTTTTTTGTTTTTCCTTTTCTTTTTTCAAGGGGGGGGGGGCTCTGGTGGGGCCTCTTGGGGGCTTGGGGCTTGGGGGCCC